TTGGAACTTTCGTCATAAGAAATTTTTATGACGAAAGTTCATAGAAAATTCATAGGAATTTTTGTCATAAATTAATGAATTATTCCATATTATCAGTTAAGATACCATGTGGGATGTACCTGTCTTATAGGTATATACGCATCTTATAGGTACATACCCATCTTATAGGTATATACCCATCTTATAGGTTAATTCATTCTTCATACATTGTGGTCTTTTTGTCTGTTGTTCTGATGATTCTTCAACTGAAATGGAATAAGATGGGTATATACCTATAAGACAGGTACATCCCACATGGCATCTTAACTGATAATATGGAGTAATTAATTAATTTATGACAAAAATTCCTATGAATTTTCTATGAACTCTCGTCATCGAATTCTCGTATGGCGAGAATGTGACGAAAACTGTGACGAAAGTACCCACGACTTTTTTGTGACGAGAGTTCGGAAATTCAAACAGTTCAACCACATGTTTCGAAATAGAAGACGTCTTCCAGCGCATGTTCCTACAAAATATGCCTGTTTTGTGAACTTTCTCGTTTGATAAATTTTTTTTCTTTGAAGCTGCGACTATCTTGAAATCGTTCTGATGTCCATAGTCTCGAAGCGTAGAGGGAAACGTTTAGTGACTGCCTTCCTCTAAAATGCTAATCACACGTTTCTAGACATCCGTCGCAAGATACACTCGATTGTATCTGTGCATACCTATGCGGTTAGTGTCTCTCTTTTATATCTCAGATGCATCTACGATTAGAAGGAGTTTTACAAATTCAACAGCGATAGTTTTTCGTAAGGTGTTGAATTTTTTTCCAAAATCTATATAAAACATGATGAGTATGTAGTTCGAAGACTTACTTCTGTAGATTCCTGAGTTCAGTGGTTTGTGCTTCAGTCTTATACTTCCTACTCGCCAGGTGTCCCAAGTTTGATTCCTGGAGGAGTTGTTTTTTTCCCTTTCAAAGTAGATGGTTTTGCTTCTATAGTTTTACTGTGGCGGTTTTTCTAACGGTTTTAAAACCGTCATACTGCAACCATAGGAAAGAAAAGTATGAAAAACCAAAAACGTGAAGAAATACCATGCCAAACTGACTGCGAGAAACCTCGTATAAAAACCGTAATGAGTTTCACGCTTTCTTTTACTGTGTACCTTTTTCTAAAAAACTTTTGAAAACTTCTCCATCTGATAGACAATTTAATTCTCTACACAATGATATTTTTGTAAGATAAAATCCCGGGAAAAGCCATTTATTTACTTAAAACAATTTTTGTTAAATTCGTTAACACTTTTTTTTTGCGGGCAATATTACAGAACGGTAAAATGTTTTTATATGAAAAACCGTTCTCTTTTCAGTCTCAAACGCTAAACAGTTGGAAAAATAAATAATTCAGATTCAGTACCAGAGGTGAGATCGGTTCGGTTTGAACTTTTGAAAGAAAACGATCGTTTCGGTCGTCATGATAATGATAGAAACTTGCGGTTTTCAGAAGTCAAAAGAGGATACCTGAAGTTATATTTCAACAACCAAAACTCCTTTCTGGAATTATTTGACAGATCGGTTTTTCTGAAGATCTTTGGAAAACCAACTAAAATCTCTAGAAACTGACATAGAAATCTCTTGATTTCTTTTTACAGATAGATAGTTCAAAGTGTCCTCTCCAAACTGAGAGCTAAATGAACTTTTAATTTTTGTCAGTTCAGGTGTGGCATCGGATTTCCTGAGAGTCCCAGGGTCAATGTTTCTTTAGATGCAGTAATTTCGAAAACGGATGGAAACATAGGTAATCGACCACGCTGAATCTCATGGCGACATTTGTTTTGCAAATAACTTCCAGAAACCTAGTGGAAAACCATATTAGGTAGAATGACCGATTTTTGCCTATTTTTGAGTAAAACTAAAAAATTCATAACCTAGTCAAGATCCATCCAAATTATGCCAGAATATCAGGATCTACTCTGTTTTACCTGCTCAATACTATACAATTCAATAAAGAAGAGGACGGCGGACTAATGAAAAGGACTATAGTCGATAGAAGAGTGACTAAATGACGAAGAAACAAAAAGAAATAGCAAAGGGAAAGCAACAACAAATATAACTGTGTACATGGTTAGCGGTGCCAGAGGAGTCCGCTAATAATACTGTTATTCACAGAACCTTACATTTATCCAGGTCAATGAATCCTATGTAGGATCCTACAAGATCCTATGGGATCTTACAGATGATAGGATATCATAGGATTCCTATAGGAATTTCCTATAAAAATCCCATCATAAGATTTTATATGAATCTTACCATAGGATCGCAACGAAAATCCTACTAGGATTCTTATTGTAGGAGTCCTATAAAATTCTATGAAATCCTGCAATAGGATTTCATAGGATTCTTATGTTTCTCTGTTCTGTCGTCTTTTCTATTCACCGTTTTGTTTGTCAGAGAAACAGTTATAAATACAACGCTGAAAAAAATAAAAAGTCGAGTTGAATAAGCTCAATTTTTCGCATTGAACAGTGTGAATATCAACATGGAAGCTCACTCACTATTCTTGGATTCATCCCAGTTCTGATTCAGAGACTGAGAAAGAAACCAAAAGAGAAAAACTAAATAAACGGCTCATTTAAGACTGAATATTTTCTTTTCAAATATGCCAGGATTCCTATGAAATCCTACGTAAGATCCTATAAGACCTTGTGTAGAATCTGATTGGATCCTACGGCAGGAAAGTATAGGATAAATCTAAGACAAAGAAGTCTTACCTCTTTCCTACAAGATCCTATGTGGATTTTGTAGGATCCTACGTAGGATCTTGTAAGAATCTTGTAAGAGTTTTGTAGGATCCTATGGTAGAATTGTTTGACTGGGTACCTCAGACAATACGAACACCGTTGATGTAAATAAAGTTCACGTTCATCGAAACGCTAGCGTTCACGTTCAAGGAACGAAACGTGAACTTCTACAGGCCTAGCTCGGCCACAGCTACTTTTTTGTTTGGAGGATGATAAAAAACATCTATAAAAGATAGATGTCGTCCTTAATTTAATTAATTTAACATTCGGTTTAACATTCACTGAAATAGCGGGTCCGGGAAGATATCAAATTATTTGAACATTTTTCGGTTCGATTTTAGAATAATACAAACCGATACCATCTCTGTTTAGTACTCCACTGAGTCTAAATTTCTTTCTCTCTTCTTTTTCTACTTTTTTCAGTTGCAGTGAAGAACTCACATTTTTTATCTAGTTTACCGAGGATATACTGAATGTGCACATCAGAGATCGAAATGGGTCGGGTCCGACCATATCGGGTCGGATTCGGGTCAATGTAAAAAATATTGATTCGAGTCGGATCACAGGAAAAAATTCAGATTTTATCGGATCTTGCCACCAGAAAACAAATCAAGGGATTTTCTTCAATTACGGTTCATTCACCTATTTTCCCACAGGTGTCTTTTTTATCGGAAAAAGAAGTAAAGTGTTTTTTCCTTTCTGCTTTGACGCTGTGTAATGTACACTGTACAGTGTCGTACTCTTGAAGCAAAGGAAGAAAAGAAAAAAAACATAAGTAAATCCAAAAAAATGAACGACTTAAATATGCGTCGCATTATGATGATTAAACTTCATGACAATATACGATCGAGAAAAACGATGTCCTGTTTCGGGTTATCACAATCTGAATGAATCATCACTTGGAGAAAAAATCTGAGAAATGTTTTACGCTATCACAAAGCTACAGGCTTCTGCTCTTTTTCTAGAAAAAACTGTTAGACCATCCAAGAAAAATTTTCGGGTCATTCGGATCAAGTTTCGAAAATTTTTCGGGTTGGGTCGGGTCGGATAGGGTTGAAAAGTCTTCGGGTCGGGTTCGGGTAAAAAACCTTCGGGTCATCTACCTAAGACCCGTTTCGGTCTCTGGTGCACATCACGTTGGACTGTTTTTACACACTGAAAATGGCTTGTTCAGTGGGTCTGTAACACACTGGAATTGCACATATAACTTCACAGACAGAACGAGAAAAAAGACCGAAAAAGAAGAATACTTCTTCCGTTTTTTTCCCTAGAGAAACGGAAGATAAAAATTCATATTACACAGCGACAATTTGCACGTTACGTGTTAAATGAACACTTGGGGGAATGGACACTAGCGGGTGCACTTTATTTTTTACAGTGCAGATTGTAAAATTATGCTAATATATGTTACGATTCAGAACTATTCAAATTCTAACATATCTTCTATTGAAACTTCTTGTAACCAAGATCTTGAGTGAATCCACTCCAGATGTTGCAAGGTCTTAAGTGCAGAATTTTCTTTACATTTTGTTTTTATTTATGACAGTCATAGCCATCAGATATACGACCATATAGAATCATAGACTCTTCCTTAAACAACTATGTTCAAGGAGGAAAAAATTCGAAGTTATTCTAAGTATGACAATATTCTCACTTATATTTACACAAGAATGTAAAACAAAACGAGAATTCAAGAATTTCCAAAATGTTTGTAAAAGAAGTCAAGAAATTACAAGATGTTCAAGGTGTTGACTTCTTGAAATTTCTTGAATTATTACATTTTTTTTACCAAAATCTTGAATCAAGATCTTACTGAAAAAATTCAGGAAGTCAATATCTTGGTTACAAGAAGTTTTACCATAGTATCTTCACTATACAAAAATTCTTGGAAAAATATGCGTTACATCGTTATACTAATAAAATTAAAATAACTTTTCAAAAATTTTCTTACTAGAATTAGATAGTTTTAAGCTGTCTACGGAGTAATCTGAAAACGTTTCTCAGTACAATCTATCAATCCACAGTAAAATGAGTCACAAAGTCTTTCAACAAAAGAACAAAAATGTCTCAGTTGAGTTATGTTCGGTGTTTTTTTATTAAGAGCTGAACAAAAAAATACCTAAGATGTAACTTTTTCATCATGAGTTCAGCCAAAGTGAAGCTACAAAATAACACAAAAAAAACTCCATCTCTACTTCATAAAAAACATAAGGAAAAATGCTGAGAAATAAATGTCACAGCATAATGTCAGCTTAGGCTCGATTATATTTTCCAATATTGCAAAATTGAATTATGATGCTAGTTTATTTCTTCAGGTCTATTGTGGAAATTGGGTGGTGAACAAAAATTTATAGAAAAACAAGAAGAGAAGAAAGCTTCTCAGGATAAACCTAACGCGGATGATGATGAAACATACGATATAATGATTAGTTATTCATGGAAAGAAAAAGAATTAATTACTATGATCCACAATCGGTTAATCGATGAAGGATATAGGGTATGGTTAGATAAAGATAATATGTTTGGTTCAACTATTGAACGAATGGCTGAAGCTATTGAACGTTCTTCTTTTATCTTAATGAGTATGTCAAGTTCATATAAAAAATCGCCAAATTGTCAAGCGGAAGCTGAATATGCATATCGTCGAAACCGATGTATTATCCCGTTAATTGGTGAACCAAATTATCGTGCTGATGGATGGTTAGGATTTATAGCGGGATCAAAAATGTACATTCGTTTTGGACAAGATAATTTTGAAGCAGATTTTCAACTTCTAATTAAAGAAATTAAACGAAATCAATCAATCAATCATCATCAAGGAAAAGTTAACGGTGAACATGTAAAAAGTTTACAACATGAAACGAGTAAGGTTTATATATTTAATTAACTAAACTTTTAAATACAAAAGTATATCCAATAAAAACTACAATAGAATAAATGATGATTTATTCGTAACCGTGACTACTTTGAAGACTAGAAATATTTCCAACATTCATATGACATTGAACAAAAACGTTAGATTAAAGAATAATTGTTGATAAATAAACGTTTCACATAGACTATAGGATTCATCATTACCATTTTGCATATTCAAAAACTCAACTCGTTGCATCGAATATTTCATTTTATTTTAGAAAAATCGTCATCAATTTTGGATACAAATGTACCGGAAACATCTGCTGAATCAACTACACATGAAAATTTAGAGCTAGTTAATGATACGATAGATGTTAATGGTGAACAATCAACTTCTCCTATTACAGAAACGGAAGATATTTCCATCGATCTTATTTCAAATCAAATTTCTCATAGTCACGATTCATCAATTATACATTCTTCCTTATTAAAAGAAGAAAGTAGACAGACTATTATTTACCTTCCTCTTCCACCATCGCCTCCCCCAATCATTTCAATTCCATTACCTCAAACTCGTGGTTATTCTATAATCCTAAATATGAAAAAATGGTCTGCAGTAAACGTTCTGGAATTTTTGAATGATATGGAACTTGATATAATGGCACCATTGTGTCAAAAAATGAATGGTAGTACGTTAATTGAGATGCACAAAGCATGTGATACGTATCCCGATGCCATGTACCACATATTAAATGCACAATTAATTGAATTAAATAGAAAAACGTTACCTACTTTTACCTATTTTAAATTCATTAGCGATGTCAAAAAATGTTTACCATACAAATTACCACAAAAAATTTTCTATCGGTATGAAACACACAACAATGAAAACAGCAACTATTAATATGTCCATTGTTTTCCGTTGCATCTTATTATCCTAATGGTATCATGATAAGCTTTTCCATTATGATCATCTGTACACAATGTTAACAGGAATGGAAGGTTCACATAACGATTTTTATCAACGATTTTAATGGTTATTGTATGATCGCAAAATGTAGTAAAAAATCGTAGTCAAAATGAGCCTACAAACAGTTTAGGCTTTAGTCTGTCACGTTACGTGATCGAAAAAACGTATCAGAGACAAATTTTTGATTTTTTTGATCTTAAAAATAATATTATTAATAGAATATATGTTTTGTTAGCGGAAAGATGGTATCAGTCTATTTTATATATTTGGGGTTTCCATTAAAAGCAACATTGAAATAGTGCGATTTGTATAAATTGTAATTTTCTGAGGAAGTACTTTATCAGAAAAGAAAGTAAAACAAATTCAATTGCAGTTGTTGACCAGGATAAGGTTCGGCTAATTCGAAGTTACAGCACCATCTCACGAGTCAGATTTGAATGATAGTCCCATAGATCCACAGAGGGCGTCGAGCGGCAAATGGTGGTGTCCTCAGAATCCAGAAAATCCCTTTCCTTCGCCCTCAAGCCGCCAAAATACTGAGACGAACACCGAAATCAAAATAAGTGTTTCCTGTGAGTATTTCGACCGCCATTTTTTTTGCGTTTCACTCTAGCGCCTTGAACGTTGCACGGCTGGATTCAGCGCATCAAACTGCATAGAGGCACATGTTTTTAAAGTTCCGAAAAGCCTTTTTTCGATTCGGCAAAAAATCTACCGTGAAAAGGGCAGTCCACAGCGGGAAAAAACGATCTAGTCTCTGGATTTTAGAGATTGAGATTTGGTTCTTGCGCCGAAAGATGCGCCTTGAGACGGGCTACAACGTGACGGCTCGAGATTTTCGATTTTATCCTTTCCTGTCAAAATGTATCTTTTTCTTTTTCTACGCTAAGCAATCCTTCAGGTCATTTTCGACTAAC